TAATAATATTATTTCACAAATTTTACAGTATTTTTGATCAAATAAATGCAGCCTTGGTGAGCAAAAGAGACTTCTTTCAAAAACATTTAAAATATAAAATAAAATTGACCCCAAATGTTTGAACAGTACTTTATATTTGCATGACATTATTTTCATAACAATTTTGAGTTATTCTCATTAAATTCTCATTCAGTTCTCATTACTATAATACATAATTTTTTTTATACTGTTTTAGAGAACAAATACTGGATTTTTGTTAAAAAGAAAAATGCTCCTAAAAATATTATTAGAAATAATAAGTAATGTAAAAAGAATTAAACTAAATGTAACATGTAAAATTAAAATAATAATAATTTAATAAGATAAACACTCTTATTTTTTTCATTATTTTATAATTTTTTATTTATTTACTTTTATTTATTTATTTGATTTTGAAGATGCTTGAGTGTTACTTAAATTCAAAAAATCTATATTATAATGTGTATTAACTTAATTACAATTAAAAAATAAAATCATATATAATTGTGTTTTTACTTTTTTTTTCTTCATTTTATTTATTTATTTAGTTATATGTATTTATTTATTTTTAATTTAATGAAAATAATGTCACAGAATTGTTTTGGATTTTGAGGTGAAATATGATATGAAAATGTATTGAGAGCTACCTAAACAAAAAGGTACAGTATAATTTGTCTAGAGTTTAGTTTGATAAAACATGCTTCAGTTCCAGATCTGACAGACTGAGGATGAGTGTGAGGAAGGTTATTGATCTATAACCATATTTATCACTCGTTCATCTCAGAGCTTCTCTCTCAGTATCCTCCACCAGCGGAGGAAAACAGCGGAATAAATGAGCTCAAAGACGCTCGTGTTTGCTGTTTAATCATGTATGGATGTAAAGGGCAAACATCAGAAATTCCCTGTGTCAGTTTTCGGGAAGGGCCACAGGAGCCCCGGAGCGGCGCGCGGATACGCTAGAGCTAATGTCGATGTTAAGCGACCATGACAAAAACATGCAACAACAGCGGATGCAAACAGAGCTTGTGTTTCATGCACTTCACATGAACTAAAACAGAGTCAAATCTCCAGGCGCTGGCGCAGAGAGGACAGAACGAGAGTGGCTAGCTGCTAGCTGAATGTTGACTGATGCTAATCTGACCTTTGGGTTCGCTAATCTGTAATAAAGTCTGGGTTTGCTAGCAAAAGGTTATCTGTGAATATAAAAAGCTGCATATATAAATATACTGTAGTTAATGAAATTACAAACTTCCACACCGCCTGCCCTTTCCTGTGCTTTCTCATTAAACACAGAAAAAACAAGCTGCTGGAAAACCCTTTTCTGGAATGTTAAATCTTTAGAGTTACTGCAGTATGGCAACAATATGACCATAATCACCATATTCAGCAAGATTGAACACAAAACACACACACATGTATATATTATGAAAAAAATATAAAAATCACAGCGAGTGTCATGGCAGACGCCTAAATCCACTACAATTTTATAAATAATACTGTTTTTGTGTCCCGGAATGTAGTTTTAAGAGTTTTTTAGGCGGGAATGTACATGTCTAGACTTCAAATATGCGTTTTGTTAATAAAGATAACGTCTATTTGAAAATATGCTTTGATGTTTTGGGAGATGTGAGCTCCAGGGCGTCAGCGGCCGTTCACCGCCGGCTCTGATGTCTCTATAGTGGTTAAACATGAGAAATATTTCCTTTTGGTTAATTCTAACGGGTCTTTGCTCTCATTAATCTATTATTTGTTCTAGAGCAGATAGTTTTGGCTGAGGGCAAAATCTCATCACGTTATATTTTATGTAACTTTAATGTTGTATAGCAGAGCGCTGCCTTTGTTTTGACTGAATTGCCGAACAACTTTTATGATGGCTGTTGCTGTTGTTGTTTATTAAATACTATTATTCAATAAATAATATATTATATACATAATAGTAGTATTTAGTATTGGGAAACAGTGTGTGTGTTCGTGATGGTGATTTTAGTGACATTATTCCACCGTTAGATGCGACAAGACACTGTTTTTCTGAGTGAGTCTGCAGTAAAGACTTTTATATTGAAAGAGACTGAAACAGGGTTGTAAACAAGGAAATTATTTTTACTTTCAACATC